GAAACTACCACAAGAAATTACAACAGATGTAACTGATTCCCCATTAATATCCTCTACTCCCAGTTCTACAACTTCCACCACAACTGCAGCAACAAAAGATGATGCGGAATGGCCAGAATTTCCACCCAAAAAACTGTAAAAAATCCAACAACACAACCACCAAAAAACCTACTACCACCACCATTAAACCCTCAACTACCACCACCATTAAACCTTTAAATAAAGAGATTAATACCACGGTTAAACCAAATATTACCGAACCTTTACCAACTTCCTTGCCCAAATGGCCAATTAAAGCGCAATATTGCTTTTGTGATCTTTCACAAGACACTTGTGATATAAATTGTTGTTGTGATCCTGACTGCTCCGCCGATGCTTTAAAGGTATTTCGTTGTCAACTAGAAGAGCCCATTGATTTAGAGATACATGAAGGACGTTTTGAGGATTTTAAATTTCAACATGGTCTGCCTTCGTGTGAGATTAATGACGGTTGGTTGTGTGTGTTAAGAACCTATAAACCTTTGGTTAAAAAGAAGTAAGTCCGTTGTAGAGATTATTTACAAACATTAGTTTTTAATTTATGTAATTTCAGGTAACACATTCTTTTGAGGATACTTCCCGTTATAATAAATGGCCGAATTTATATTGGAATCGGAAGAGGTGAAAAATCGTGAATTTTATAAATTCGGCGATATATTGAGATATTTAATGTGAAAACTAAAGAAATACAAAATTTTGGTAAGAAAAATAGAAACTCTAATTCAGAGCTATTTTCTATGAAAAACTATAGCCTAATTCAGAACAATTTTCGAAAGTGGAACTTGCTCCGATTCAGGAGTTCAAGACTATAGACTAGACTATAGACTAGACTATAGACTAGACTATAGACTAGACTATAGACTAGGCTATAGACTAGACTATAGACTAGACTATAGACTAGACTATAGACTAGACTATAGACTAGACTATAGACTAGACTATAGACTAGACTATAGACTAGACTATAGACTAGACTATAAACTAGACTATAGACTAGACTATAGAGTAGACTATAGAATAGACTATAGAATAGACTATAGACTAGACTATAACTAGATTATAGACTAGACTATAGACTAGACTATAGAATAGACTATAGACTAGACTATAGACTAGACTATAGATTAGACTATAGACCAGACTATAGACTAGACTATAGACTAGACTATAGACTAGACTATAGACTAGACTATAGACTAGACTATAGACTTGACTATAGACTAGACTATAGACTAGACTATAGACTAGACTATAGACTAGACTATAGACTAGACTATAGACTAGACTATAGACTAGACTATAGACTAGACTATAGACTAGACTATAGACTAGACTATAGACTAGACTATAGACTAGACTATAGACTAGACTATAGACTAGACTATAGACTAGACTATAGACTAGACTATAGACTAGACTATAGACTAGACTATAGACTAGACTATAGACTAGACTATAGACTAGACTATAGACTAGACTATAGACTAGACTATAGACTAGACTATAGACTAGACTATAGACTAGACTATAGACTAGACTATAGACTAGACTATAGACTAGACTATAAACTAGACTATAGACTAGACTATAGAGTAGACTATAGAATAGACTATAGAATAGACTATAGACTAGACTATAAACTAGATTATAGACTAGACTATAGACTAGACTATAGAATAGACTATAGACTAGACTATAGACTAGACTATAGATTAGACTATAGACTAGACTATAGACTAGACTATAGACTAGACTATAGACTAGACTATAGACTAGACTATAGACTAGACTATAGACTAGACTATAGACTAGACTATAGACTAGACTATAGACTAGACTATAGACTAGACTATAGACTAGACTATAGACTAGACTATAGACTAGACTATAGACTATAGACTAGACTATAGACTAGACTATAGACTAGACTATAGACTAGACTATAGACTAGACTATAGACTAGACTATAGACTAGACTATAGACTAGACTATAGACTAGACTATAGACTAGACTATAGACTAGACTATAGACTAGACTATAGACTAGACTATAGACTAGACTATAGACTAGACTATAGACTAGACTATAGACCAGAGTATAAACTAGAAAAATTGCTCTTAGTATTGCTCAGAGCATTTTATAGATAACATTGTTGTGGCTAAAACACTTACACTTATCTTTATTTTACAGATCTTCCATCATCTTATCAAACTGCCACTTGTCGCCTACAAGAACCCATTTATCATTTAAAACCCCTAAAAAATCTTGTCTGGTTTCCTCTCATGAAAATTTAAAAGAAATTGAAATCAAATTTAAACAACTACAAGAAGACTATAAAATATTTAGCAAACCCACGATGCCAGATGATATTTACAACAACAAACATATGGAAAACTATATAGAAAATATAACGGTTAATAATTGTTATGAAAACAAACTAAATTGCTCAAGATATAGAACTAAAAAGAAAGACAGGACAATTTTAATTTATATAAAGTTAAAATAAATATCTTACACAATTTTACCCATATTCAAGAGCTAATAGTGGACTTATGGCTAAAGGAAAACAAAACCTTGGATAAAATGGAAAGTACTAAAACAGAATATTGGTTGTCTTACGAAATAGAGTTTTTAAATAAAACTTTAAAGGAATTTTTAAAAACAAATACAACAGAAAACGTATATCCCCCTGTAATATCTGGGCCCTTAGGTTATCTACTGGGTAAACCAATAATCCTAGCACGCTATGAGGTTTTCAATAAAAGTCTACCTTTATCATCTAAAAATCAAATAATCAATTACTTTAACCCCAATAATACCGAGTCTCATATTTTAACTTTATTTTCAAAAGAAAATGGTGAATGTGCCCGTTTTAATCCTGCTAAAGATTATATTGCTTACGGTATTAATATAGCCAATATTGTAAAATAAAACTGGAAAATGAAACGCTTTTACTAAAGGATGCCTCAAAAACTAATTTCACAGAAATATGTTTAAATTTACAGCAACATATACATAAACAACTATTTGGTGAGGACCTAGAAATTGCTGAATTATCTTTCTACTTAATATCCCAATTGGGTAAACCCGAGAATGATTCACAAAAATGGTTGCCGTTAAATGTTTTCAACAGCGATTTTGATTCAGTAATTGGACAATATCTACAGGAGACCAATACATTTATATGCCGGAATATTTTATTAAGTTTAGCATATGAATTTCATATGGCCACCTACGAGGTGGATAATGTTCCCTTGCAAAATGTCATTAAGCATGCTGCTTTACATTTGGCCGAACGTCATGATTTGGAATTTGCTTTAGATGAAAATTTGGAAGTGCCCATTACAATGACTGTGCGTTTTTATGATGTTCACGAAAAAGCTATATCAGCTGCTAATAGTTTAAAGGATTTGCATTTGGAATATGGTGTAATCTTAGTTCTAGTATTAGTTTTTGTAGATTTATATAATTAGATTTAGTAGATTTTTCTTAAATTTGTATTGAAATAAATCTAGTCATGCTTTTAATCAAACAAATTGAAATTTTTTTATTATTCTTTTCCGTAACTAGAACTGAACTAGAACTGAACTAGAACTGAACTAGAACTGAACTACAACTGAACTACAACTGAACTAGAACTGAACTAGAACTGAACTAGAACTGAACTAGAACTGAACTAGAACTGAACTAGAACTGAACTAGAACTGAACTAGAACTGAACTAGAACTGAACTAGAACTGAACTAGAACTGAACTAGAACTGAACTAAACTGAACTAGAACTGAACTAGAACTGAACAGAACTGAACTAGAACTGAACTAGAACTGAACTAGAACTGAACTAGAACTGAACTAGAACTGAACTAGAACTGAACTAGAACTGAACTAGAACTGAACTAGAACTGAACTAGAACTGAACTAGAACTGAACTAGAACTGAACTAGAACTGAACTAGAACTGAACTAGAACTGAACTAGAACTGAACTAGAACTGAACTAGAACTGAACTAGAACTGAACTAGAACTGAACTAGAACTGAACTAGAACTGAACTAGAACTGAACTAGAACTGAACTAGAACTAGAACTGAACTAGAACTGAACTAGAACTGAACTAGAACTGAACTAGAACTGAACTAGAACTGAACTAGAACTGAACTAGAACTGAACTAGAACTGAACTAGAACTGAACTAGAACTGAACTAGAACTGAACTAGAACTGAACTAGAACTGAACTAGAACTGAACTAGAACTGAACTAGAACTGAACTAGAACTGAACTAGAACTGAACTAGAACTGAACTAGAACTGAACTAGAACTGAACTAGAACTGAACTAGAACTGAACTAGAACTGAACTAGAACTGAACTAGAACTGAACTAGAACTGAACTAGAACTGAACTAGAACTGAACTAGAACTGAACTAGAACTGAACTAGAACTGAACTAGAACTGAACTAGAACTGAACTAGAACTGAACTAGAACTGAACTAGAACTGAACTAGAACTGAACTAGAACTGAACTAGAACTGAACTAGAACTGAACTAGAACTGAACTAGAACTGAACTAGAACTGAACTAGAACTGAACTAGAACTGAACTAGAACTGAACTAGAACTGAACTAGAACTGAACTAGAACTGAACTAGAACTGAACTAGAACTGAACTAGAACTGAACTAGAACTGAACTAGAACTGAACTAGAACTGAACTAGAACTGAACTAGAACTGAACTAGAACTGAACTAGAACTGAACTAGAACTGAACTAGAACTGAACTAGAACTGAACTAGAACTGAACTAGAACTGAACTAGAACTGAACTAGAACTGAACTAGAACTGAACTAGAACTGAACTAGAACTGAACTAGAACTGAACTAGAACTGAACTAGAACTGAACTAGAACTGAACTAGAACTGAACTAGAACTGAACTAGAACTGAACTAGAACTGAACTAGAACTGAACTAGAACTGAACTAAACTGAACTGAACTGAACTAGAACTGAACTAGAACTGAACTAGAACTGAACTAGAACTGAACTAGAACTGAACTAGAACTGAACTAGAACTGAACTAGAACTGAACTAGAACTGAACTAGAACTGAACTAGAACTGAACTAGAACTGAACTAGAACTGAACTAGAACTGAACTAGAACTGAACTAGAACTGAACTAGAACTGAACTAGAACTGAACTAGAACTGAACTAGAACTGAACTAGAACTGAACTAGAACTGAACTAGAACTGAACTAGAACTGAACTAGAACTGAACTAGAACTGAACTAGAACTGAACTAGAACTGAACTAGAACTGAACTAGAACTGCACTAGAACTGAACTGGAACTGAACTAGAACTGAACTAGAACTGAACTAGAACTGAACTAGAACTGAACTAGAACTGAACTAGAACTGAACTAGAACTGAACTAGAACTGAACTAGAACTGAACTAGAACTGAACTAGAACTGAACTAGAACTGAACTAGAACTGAACTAGAACTGAACTAGAACTAAACTAGAACTGAACTAGAACTACAACTAGAACTGAACTAGAACTGAACAAGAACAGAACTAAAACTAAACTATATCTGAACTAAAACTGAATAGTAAAAGATGCATCGATTCAGATCTAATTATATGTATCAACAAATTGTTCTAATTCAGAAAAAGTATAGTATAAACAATTATGCCAACCAATGCTATTACTATTATAATAGTAATAGCATTAATTGGCATAATTGTTTATACTATAAACTTATAGGAAACAAAAGCAACTTTTGAAGGAAACTTGGCTATAAATCACCAATTTTTAAATACATACTGAATCTGCTGGGACATATTGACTGTCTATCGAAGGTTTTTCTTACAATTTGCAGTTTAAAAACTCTTAGGAATATTTTTTTCTTAATAACTATTTTATTAAATCAGCATTAAAACAGTAATATAGAAAATAAAAATACTTTTCTAAAGGGAAATGTATTTAAATATGAAAAAATTACCTTATCAAATATTCTTCAATATATTCAAACTGCTTAAGTAATGTTTTCTCTCCAAGTACATGCAATCCAATTCGCTATCGATTGTGATATTTTTTAAACTCCAACAAATGCGATAATTATCTAAAATAATAATATTTTCCGAATTTAACTCCACACACCATTGGTTCTGTTGCATTTTCAAGGCAACACTTAAATGTTTAAGGGTTTAGTCGCCGAGCAATAATCTTGTGTATTAATACAATCCAAGTGATAAGGATTAAACCAAATACGTTCCATGAAATCACTTTTCCATAAAACTGGTTGTTTGATTTTATAATTAAAACCTTTGTCATCTTCAAAACAATAGTCCATTTGATGAAGTGCTAGAAATTCTTGTGTAGTTTTGGGTAATTGTTCTATGGCTTGAAAACCATCCACTAAATTTAATTGTAATTTTAAATGCTCTTTATTCTGAGGCACTGACAGTATTTGTATGCCTTTGTCCATGGATTCGAAAGTACAATTTGAATGTGGTGTCTTGTGTTCTCCTAAGGACTTTTGTCGTTTTTCGTTAATTATTTGATTGCATGAAATATTAAATATTTTAGTTATGATACATTTCTTTAGTAAAGAATCTTTATCATCTTTGGGTACTTGTTTTATGATTAATACTCCTGACTTTTGCAAACGATCTAAGGCTTTATAGATGCCCGATTTGTTCGATTGTAAGAGTTCGTAAAAGTTCATAGATTGTAAATCATCGCGAAATTGAGTGTGTTGAAAATTCCATAATAAATAGTTAGGACTGATGGTTATTTGGGATTTTTGTAGTTGTTCGTATAACTTTGTGAGATTGTAGGAGGAAGTGTGACCATCACTCCCTGCAATTGAGAAGAGAATATAATTAAGTAAACTAGAACTGAACTAGAATTGTACTAGAACTGAACTAGAAGTAAAGTAGAAGAAAACTAGAACTGAACTAGAACTGAAATAAGTGGATCTTAATTTTAACTAATCTAAATAGTTACTTACATATTATATCCAATCTTCTAGTTTCCTCTATAACCGTGGCCATTACCGGTTGCAAATCCTGATCAAATTCAAAAAACTCTATCAAAGGCCTATTTATCTTACTATCAAAACATTCACTACAACGACAAATATGACGCATCCATAATATATCAGCTTTTACCTCAGTATCCAGCTGAGAATCTTTCATCTGTATAAAACCATCATTAACCACCAACTCAAACCCATTACCTTCTTTGACACAAGAAGTGACTAGAGTTGAATCACTTATATCCTTGCTAGAGGACACCAAATTATCATTAAGAAAAGCAGCATCATCAGACGCTAATGAACTTTGATTTATATTACTAAAACATTTAGGGGATATTGGAAATTCCTCTGCATCATTAAGTTCATCTTTGGTTGTATTAGGTTCATTATTTTCTTTCCCCTCCGTATTAATATTATCACGAGGCCAACGTTCAGTAGTATCATATTCCACCTTATTCGTTTTACCATGGCGGCACATGTCCAGTTGATTAAGAGTCTTCAGATTTAAACTTGGAACTGCCACTGCATTTAATTTCCTAGATTCAGGATGACTATAGTCCGAAATGCGAAAATGACGACTGCAGATAGCCATAGTTATTAGGCGCAAATGGGGAATGGCATAAAGTGTGGGATTATCAAAAGCTGCTAACCAGGCTTTACATTTTTCAAGATTTCGTGGAAATTTATGGAATAAACTGAAACGTAATCCTTTACACTGGGGTAAAGCGCATTTAACGAAGACTTTTGGTTCACTGAAAAAATAAAAGAATGTTTTAAATAAAATTTCGTTTAAAAACTTTAAAATACTTACGATTTGTCCGGCGCGTTCATTTTGAGCACTAAATATGTCGGCGGCGGCTTAAAATCGATTGTAAGCCGGCTATGTTTTCAACTACGTTTAGTTTTTAATTTTTCTACGATTTAAAAAAAAAAAACGGTATCCGAGAGATCAGAAAGTGGGATTTTGGAAGCAAATATATTGTTTATAACAACAAAACAGAGCAAGCTTATAAGTTGTGTGAGAAATTATGCAGGGATGAATAAAAAATTCTTAAAAATTAAAAACAAATCCTTTCTCCAAGTTCTACTACGATCTACCGATATTTAACCCTATCCTCCATATAAAACAAAATTGCAGAAAATCAGTTTCTAAAAAATTTTGCATTAAGAAAATGATCAATAACGTAAAACAAAGATTTTTTTATTTGTTTATTTACTAGCTATACCCAGTGTGCTGTGCTACCCTAAAAGCAATATAAATAAGAAACTCACTTAACGATTTTGATGATTCTAACTACAATGGTTTTCCAGATATACAATCTGTTACATATGGGAGATTCCACGCAAATTATTGCAATTTCGCCAATTATTCCGAACGTTAATTAAGATTTTAATTTAATCTATGAAATATTTGAATAATCTAATAGCTTCCCAGATATACAAAATTTGCATTTAATTCATATGAGAAGTGCCAAACTCCCATTGAAAGTCCGCCCGTTATTCTCTAAATGTTTTTCAGTAAAATTTGAAGATTCTAGCTCTAACAGTTTCTCAGATATACGAATTTTTCTATTTAATTCATATGGGAGCTCCAAGCCCCCCAGATGAAAGTCAGATGAATATTAAAGTTCTTCGTGCAAAATTTTAAGAATTTAGTTCTATTAGTTTCCCAGATAAACGAATTTTTGTATTTAATTCATATGGGAGGTTCCGCTCCCCTCATTGGTAGTCCCCCAATTTATTACCCGAAATGTTTACATGGATGTTAAAGTTCTTCCAGAACAACATCATTTAAAGGGATCACAAAGAGATTGAAAAATATTCCAAAAGTTTCACTTTGAAAACATTATTAGAGTGTATGAAAACTCGCAACTCTAAAGGCAGACTATTCTTATTTTAGCGGTAATTTATGATTAAAATAAGTAAGAAGTAAGAGTTATATTTTTGAAGAACGAAAAAGTACCAAAAAGTCCCCTTTTATAGGACCTCACTTAATCCGGGCTCTACATGCTTAATTTCACGTTTCTAGGTTCATTATTATACAAAAACTTAAAATGTACCTTTTAAAGAACCAAAAAGTCCCCTTTTACAGGTTCTCACTTAATCGGGGCTCTACATGCTTTCATGTTTCTAGGTTTAATATTATAGAAAATTCAAAAAGTTCCTTTTGAAGTACGAAAAAGTACCAAAAATTACACTTTTATAGATTCTCAAGTACTTAATTACAAGTTTCAAAGTTCTGAGTCAAAAAAGTACCAGTCGAAGTACGTTAAAGTACCAATAAGTCCCATTTTATAGATTCTCATTTACTCCGGACTTTACTTGCTTAATTTCATGTTTCTAGGTTAAATTTTATAGAAAACTCAAGAAGTACCTTTGTAGAACGAAAAAGTTCCGAAAAGTTCCTTAATTATTAATTTCATGTTTCGATTTCAATATCATAGAAAACCCAAAAAGTACCAGTTGCGGAATGAAAAAGTACCAAAAAATATCACTTGGTACCGGTGTTCCAAATAACATCCCATTAGCATATTTAGTGTTTCTTGAATAAAATCAAATTTCCCGTTTTTACCCTTTTTGGTACTTTTTTCCTCCCCATTAACGAAATAAAAATTATCTTCCAAAAGTTGCAACATCGTATTGGGAGCCCGTTATTATGTATTCATATGTATAAGTTAATAAACCAAAAAAAAATCTTTTATAAAAAGTACCAAAATAGGTACAATTTTTCTCCCCTTAAACGTCCGAATATCCATAAAGTACTAAATTCATATTTTTATTTGTTCGTCAAGTTATGAAGGATTCAAAAATATTTTTTGAATGTTCTCTGGTTTAAAAGATACATGGGGTGCAAAAGAAGTACCAAATTACAGTTTTTACCCGTTTATTCCCCAAAGGGGCCGAATTTGAAAAAATTACCGGACACCTGTCCGCTTTTTTTTTTTAATGAACGACCATAAGCTTTAACTGTTTTTGTTAGGAGATTTGAGGTTACCGAATTTACGTTTTTACCCTTTTTTAACCCCCAAAAAATTCGAATTTCCATTTGGTGGGAGACCAACCTCCTGCCCAAATTTCAGCTCTTTAGCTTCAAGGCTCTAGGCTCTACGATGATGAATCAGTCAGTAACGTTAGAATTTTATATACGTATGTATGTATATAGATTTCGTGCATTGAATTACTGTAAAAACATTGTAATGTTCGACTTGAATTCAAGTTTCGTTTTCACTGGAGAATGATATTGAATTAAAGTGTAACGAAAGTGTATTTCAACACTTGAAATTTGAATGTTTGACTGGAATTAAAATTGCTTTAAACTTTAATTCCAGCAAGAATGCTTATTTGATATAGTGTGACAACTATAAGGGATCTAAAGTCGACATAAAGCCCACAATGGTTAGTACCAATATTTTGCCCAAACAACATCTACATACCTAGCCAGGTTATATCCTCTAGGTCCGTGAAGACAGTCTCTACAAAGCTATAAATTTGTATAAAAGGCGGCTTAACAATTGTTTCTTGTAAATATTCGGCCACCATAGTGTTTGGAGACAACAAGAGCTTCACTGAAAGGCACACCTGACAGACATCGCGCTCTATTATGGGTGTATGGTAGTGATTCAGCTGAGATCAATGGTATAATAATAAGTATGTATCCCAAGGATACTCCCTGAATACGGCAATCAGCTTCCTTCCATTGCCTCTAGGTGATAATATACTCTATGTACTAGCCGACCGACCACCACCCGCCTAGGTGACTAGGGAGGTATACAATTGCCACTCTCTTGTGGGCATTCTTCCAGGAGACCATCATGATGCCTCCCTCCTCTTTCTTGAAAAGAAAGACGTTCTTTATAGACAAATAAATAATTAATTAACACCATTACTTCCATTTTTTAATCTTCTAGATCTCACAAATACGCCAAATCTAGATTTCAATAAACACTTTTGGGTATAATACCAATATAATAACGAAAACAAACCCCGCCTGGAAAAACATTTTCATCATAGTTATTAACAATTTATCTAAATTAAACGAAACACTTGCTGTTTCTTTGCACAATGACCCTCGGTATAGTAGTATAGCAATCTTATTAATTTCAATTGTTAGTAAAAAAATATTTTTTTATTTAAAGAATATCATTACTGTCACTTTAGATTTTTGCACACACACAACAACATTTTTTTTTTTTGCAAATAAAAAATGCAGAAAACAGTTTGGCGCGAAAAATTCTAGCAGAATTTCTTTTCGCAGTCGGCAGAATTGACATCAACTGCACTTCCCATTTAAAATACACATGTTTGATACCTTAGCCCTTTACGGTATGACATACCAGCAATGTAAAAAGGTATAGCTCCGTTGACGTCAACGAAGCTGGTTTGAAGTAAAAGCAGCGACTCGAATCAGGCGCGTAAAACACGAAAATATCTGAGGCGGCCAAATTTCAATAAGCGGCTTATTATTAGATAAAAGAAAACTTGCTTAAATGAAAACAAATTAATTTTATATTGTAAAATTCTATAAATTTAGCGAAAGTATTCTGTAAATTGTACAAAATATGGCGAAATTTTCAAGCCGTATTAAGCTGAAAAATTTTCGGCGGCGGCGGCTTTGACATTTTGTTCGGCGGCTAGGCTTAGTCGGCTTAAGCCGAATCGGCGCAAGTCTCTGGTCCGGCGCGTTCATTTTTTTGTTTACCTTTGCTGCTTCTACATGAAAGTGTAATGTACTGTGGAGTAACAGCATTATGATTGGGATATGCAAGATATCAATTTTCAGTGAGTATTTTGTTTTGTTTACGTTTTTTGCTGAAATTTAAAATTGTAATGAAAGTAAATTTTAGTTTTTATTTTTTATTAATTATCAACAATAAAGATCAATTTAACAAATATCTGTACGACATTTACGCATAGCTTTATGCATTAGCAATGCTAAGCGCTCCTCCTCTTTACGTCTTTCCTCCTCTTCAAAGGCTTTGCGTATAGCATCCGCTTCATTGGTAGCCTTTTCCGAAATCTCGTGCACCAATTCCAAATGATCCATTATACCCTTACGCATGCAATATTGGAAATTCATGGCCATGGAATATTTAATATCTAAACCAGAACGTGTTGCCAGCTCTTGCCAATGTAAGAAAAGCCAATTTTCATTTTTCAAATCTTTAATAGCCTGGTATTTTGGTTTAAATTCCTCCAGCATATTAAGGAAGTATTTAGCGACTTCCTGTATTTCTGGCTTCTCTAGCAAAGACTTGTAATGATAGCTGCAAAGAGTTTTGTATGGTGTCCAGGCCATGACCAACATCGTCGAGTTCTATATTAACCAAAGGATTGCCTAAAGTAGCCTCTTCTAGTTTAACCATATCCTGGCATGCGTACCAAAGATTTTTGTAAGGCAGAAAGCCTTCTATGATGCTATTAAGAAATTCTAGAGACAGATCCTCCAATTCAAAAAGTTCTTGGCGATAACGCAAAGTTTCGCCCAGTTTTTGCAAATCCAATATAACTTTCCAGGTTTTTTTGAATCTACAAATTAGAAAAATTTTAAAAATTTCTTATTTATTTAAGACTATATGTGTTACATACCTCTACTGCAACTTCTGTTACTTTTTGCGGATTAAATTGCAAAGAAAATTGTTGAATTTCATCATTTAACGATTCTAAACGTTCCTCAAAACCAATGCACTCACTTAAGTGCAAACGCTTAAAATCTTCTATATCCAGTTTTTGCTCTTCCCTTAATGTAGTTAAACGTTCTAGTATGGTTTTCGGCCAAGCGTAAACCTCCCATTTCATGGCAAACTGATGATCCGGTAAATTATAGAAAAAACTATCCAACATATCATATTCCAGCCACATTATCTGTATATCAGCTCTTAACTGTTCCACCAAATCGGTTATAGTTAAAGCAAAATCTCTGATAGCATATAAATGTTCTATACTTTGAGGTTTTTCATTAATCTTCTGATACATTTCCAGACAACGTTCCAGTAAACGCTCATTGGTATCAAACATACGATCCAGGTAATACTCGAAAATTTTCTTAACAATTTCTATACGTTTCTTGATCATATATTGTTTCATAGGATCCACAATAACCAAAAAGGGTCCTATGTTAATGGTTGCTGGCAGTATTAAACGCATTTCTTCTTTGTTGCGCTTATGTTCCAAAATATCAGCCTTTACCTGCATGGAGGACTTTTTGGCGGCCTTATATTCTGACATATAGGTGGGTACACTTAGCAGATAGAATTCTATAAAACGATCGTATTTATGGGCATATGATCTTAAGGGAAAAATAGCTTTTAAATAACACTCTTGCAGCAAATCGTTGCATTTCACATATAACTCTTCTACCAATTCCACCGTCAAAATATATAAATCTGAAGCAAATCTTAGATTGCTTAAACATTCCGCATCTATTTGCCTAACACCACTGGACTTTTCCAAACCCTTTTTAAATAATTCTTTTAGGGCAGGAGCAAACTCCTCGGGAGGGGTAGAATAAACAACTTCTTTATCCTCGGTTACCGATAAAACCATAGCAAATATGGGCTTATTAAAGGGAAATTCTGTATTTATAAAATCACTAGACCATTGATATTGCAAATCCAGCAATAAAAACTGTTTACAAGGATCGCTTAGCAAATTGGTAAAACTTTCTATAGATTTTTCCAATAACACCTGCATAGATTCTTGCATACGAAATTTCACTTGTAATATAAAGCGGGAAATTTTACTGATTTCAAAGACTTTCCAATTATTTAGACTAATATCGAGCCAACCTTTGCCCAGAGCCCTTAAAACTAAAATTATACCATTGGAAAGCTTACAAGGCCAAGTTGTTTTCAAATAATTGCCTATATTAGTAGATTGTTTCTGCTGGGATTTTAGAAAATCGGCTAAAGCCAAAGGTTTAGCAAAATTACCAACAAACATATTTAAGGTCTCGATATATTGACATTCCGAGTTAACATTAATCAATGCCTCAAATCCTTTAAAGGTATACAACAACCAGAAAGTCAATAACTTAGTTTTTCTTTCTGCTATATCTATTTTCAAAGCTTTCAAATGACTCCTTTCTTCTTCGGCAAATCCAGAGTGAAAGGCCTTCTCTAGGGAGTTTCTTATAATCTCAGGTTTAAATTCGGAAATTCCAAAGGTAAAAGTTTGATAAATTTCTCAAACTCATAACTGGTCATCAAATGTTCATATAATATATAAATTTCCAGCTTTAAGTTGCTCAAGAATTTGGCATCACATTGTATACCTTCCATTAACTTGTCCACTAATTTGTGGCGATACAAACGCTTCGCGGCTATATCCTGCCATAAAACACAATCCACTAAAGACTGCATACTTATTAAAATTTCGGCATTGTTGCGTTTTTCTACGGCCCGCTTTAAACGCCGTATGAAATCAAAGGGATTTTCAGCCAAAAACATGATTTGTATTTTCGGCACCTCATAAACACATTCATCCTCTAAAACCCTGACAGACCATTTGCCATTAAAGGCCTCATATTTAAATACGGCCACAATTTTGCCAATTCGTATTGTAATAAACTTTGCTGTAAAGGCAAATATGCTTTTGCCGGCAAGGGAAACATTTCTCCCGTTTCGATTTCACCCAATTTTAACCAGGCCTCTGGCGAATGACAATCATAATCAGTGTCATCAAAAAACTTAAGGCAGAAAATGTTTAAATGAATTCTCTGTTAACAAATAATATTGCTCCTCTGTAGGCATTAACTCTATTTTAGTTAAACCCTCCTTTTCCAATTCCTTTTCAAGCTGCACTTTATTATAAATTCTTCTTCTTCTATCCACCTCCACGTCCCGTGGCAATTGCTTGGCCGGCAGATGTTTTGTCATTTGTACTTTGGGCAAAATGGTGTTTAAAGGGAACTTGTGGATTTTACCATTCTTACCCTTTAAGGTCAACCACTTTTGAGCCGTCTCTATTTTATGATATTCCTGTGAGGGCAGTTTGTCTTTGGGTATATTTAGTTCTTTACACGTTGCCACAATATCTGTAATGGGTTGACAAGTTTTAACCATTATGGGCATACTATCTATACTTTCTATAGTGCCACGATTTTCAGGCTTAATAAGTCCCTGAGAATAGATAACAGTGTGACGTTTTTCTAAGGCTGATATGGGCGGTTCATTGATCGAAGATGAAGTGGTATAATGTCTGGCCGAACTAAATATTGAAACCTTGGGTCTCTGGGACATTTTTTTTTGCAAGTTATAAGTTCGATTTTTTTTTTAAATGTGGTTTGAGTTTGAAAATATGTTTTTTTAAATAATATTTGTCAAATTTTATTAAAATCGTTACCGTTTTCAAAATTCTAATACTAATTTTGGTTTGATTTTTTTAGATTTACATAATTTTTCTATAAAAGTTTTTTTTTTATAAAAACGATAAAATTGTCTTTAAAAAGACAAAATTTCGAATAATTTTCCATTGAACAAAAATCTTTTATATAAAAGGAGAAAATTTTCAAAATTGTCTATAGAAAAACGAAATTTTGTAAAAAAAAAACGAAAAATCTTAATAATTTTCTATAAAAAAGAGAAAATTTCTATTAAAAAAAATTTTTTATAAAAAATTTCAAAAATAAAAAATCTATAAAAAAGTAGAAAATCGAAAAAAAATTTCGTAAATTTTATAAAAAATAAAAGTTTGTCTTTTTTTTATAAAGAAAAAGAACAATTGGATAATTTTCTATAAAAAGATTTTTAAAAATTGTCTACCTTGAAAGGTTAAAAAAAACAGTTTATTTCAATATATAACAACTTTTCCATCCCTGCTAAAAGTCACTAACAGCTGTCAAAACAATAATCGTCAGTTGCCGGCAAGATATATATAATAATATACAAAGTAAATTAATAAAGTAGCGACACGAGTTGTTGTACAACAAACGTCTACAAAAACCACAGGCAATTTGTTTTTTGTTCGAAATACTCACTTGTCAAAATTTGTTTACAAAAATGAACCAATAATTAATGGAAAATATGGCATTATTGTTGTACTTTCCAAAAATATGTTGTTATTTATATTAAAAGTCACAAAGTTTTCTTTATTTTTTAAAAATTAGAACATTTTTAAAAATATTACACTTAAAATACACTTTTTTCACATTAAATACAGCAAATTACTCAGAAATTTGTACAAAAGCAAGCGTTAAAATGAAAACAAATATGGCAACATAAACATTTTTGACAAGTAAGTCCACAAATAGCAAGTTTAAAAAAAATAGTCAGCTGTTCAAATGAGTCTACTTTATAAATTTACTTTGATAATATAAAATAAAATATTAATTATAAATTAATAACGCACATAAAGAAAACAACCCGACGAAAAATAAAACAAACCGTAACAGCTGTTTTATCAAAATAAACATTTTTTTTGGTGTGGTGAGTTATTTTTGTTTACAAATATGTGTTTTTCTGCACGTGGAAAAGACGCAAAAACTCGTTTTCATTATTTACATTTCAATATGTGTTTATGCACGTGGAAACAATTCAAAAAAATTGATTTTCATGATTTACATTAAAAAAATATTTTTGATCAATTAAAATATGTGTATAAATGTGGAAAGGAACAAATCTGATAAAATTATATTTGGGATTATATCGTTACAGAATGCCTTTTAATAAAAAACATTCAAAAAATGTTACTATGGTCATATATGTATAAAATGATATATAACTGCTATCGGACGATCTTGTGCACGATAAAAACCTATATAGAACTTTAAGTTGGAAGTGTAGAAATCGGATGGCATACATTTTTTTCCGGATTTCATCGTTCTAGGGTGTGTACTACAAACAACAAACTTTTTTTACAAAAAATGTTACTATAGGCCGTATATATAAAATGATATATAACTGCTATCGGACGATCTTGTGCACGATAAAAACCTATATAGAACTTTAAGTTGGAAGTGTAGAAATCGGATGGCATACATTTTTTCCCGGATTTCATCGTTCTAGGGTGTGTACTACAACAACAAACTTTTTTTTACAAAAAATGTTATTATGGCCGTATATATAAAATGATATATAAGTGCTATCGGACGATCTTGTGCACGATAAAAACCTATATAGAACTTTAAGTTGGAAGTGTAGAAATCGGATGGCATACATTTTTTTCCGGATTTCATCGTTCTAGGGTGTGTACTACAACAACAAACTTTTTTTTACAAAAAATGTTACTATAGCCGTATATATAAAATGATATATAAGTACTATCGGACGATCTTGTGCACTATAAAAACCTATATAGAACTTTAAGTTGGAAGTGTAGAAATCGGATGGCATACATTTTTTTTCCGGATTTCATCGTTCTAGGGTGTGTACTACAACAACAAACTTTTTTTTACAAAAAATGTTACTATAGCCGTATATATAAAATGATATATAACTGCTATCGGACGATCTTGTGCACGATAAAAACCTATATAGAACTTTAAGTTGGAAGTGTAGAAATCGGATGGCATACATTTTTTTTGCGGATTTCATCGTTCTAGGGTGTGTACTACAACAACAAACTTTTTTTTACAAAAAATGTTACTATAGCCGTATATATAAAATGATATATAACTGCTATCGGACGATCTTGTGCACGATAAAAACCTATATAGAACTTTAAGTTGGAAGTGTAGAAATCGGATGGCATACATTTTTTCCCGGATTTCATCGTTCTAGGGTGTGTACTACAACAACAAACTTTTTTTTTACAAAAAATGTTATTATGGCCGTATATATAAAATGATATATAAGTGCTATCGGACGATCTTGTGCACGATAAAAACCTATATAGAACTTTAAGTTGGAAGTGTAGAAATCGGATGGCATACATTTTTTTCCGGATTTCATCGTTCTAGGGTGTGTACTACAACAACAAACTTTTTTTTACAAAAAATGTTACTATAGCCGTATATATAAAATGATATATAACTGCTATCGGACGATCTTGTGCACGATAAAAACCTATATAGAACTTTAAGTTGGAAGTGTAGAAATCGGATGGCATACATTTTTTCCCGGATTTCATCGTTCTAGGGTGTGTACTACAACAACAAACTTTTTTTTACAAAAAATGTTATTATGGCCGTATATATAAAATGATATATAAGTGCTATCGGACGATCTTGTGCACGATAAAAACCTATATAGAACTTTAAGTTGGAAGTGTAGAAATCGGATGGCATACATTTTTTCCGGATTTCATCGTTCTAGGGTGTGTACTACAACAACAAACTTTTTTTTACAAAAAATGTTACTATAGCCGTATATGTATATAAAATGATATATAACTGCTATCGGACGATCTTGTGCACGATAAAAACCTATATAGAACTTTAAGTTGGAAGTGTAGAAATCGGATGGCATACATTTTTTCCGGATTTCATCGTTCTAGGGTGTGTACTACAACAACAAACGTTTTTTTTACAAAAAATGTTACTATAGCCGTATATATAAAATGATATATAACTGCTATCGGACGATCTTGTGCACGATAAAAACCTATATAGAACTTTAAGTTGGAAGTGTAGAAATCGGATGGCATACATTTTTTCCCGGATTTCATCGTTCTAGGGTGTGTACTACAACAACAAACTTTTTTTTACAAAAAATGTTATTATGGCCGTATATATAAAATGATATATAAGTGCTATCGGACGATCTTGTGCACGATAAAAACCTATATAGAACTTTAAGTTGGAAGTGTAGAAATCGGATGGCATACATTTTTTTCCGGATTTCATCGTTCTAGGGTGTGTACTACAACAACAAACTTTTTTTTACAAAAAATGTTACTATAGCCGTATATATAAAATGATATATAACTGCTATCGGACGATCTTGTGCACGATAAAAACCTATATAGAACTTTAAGTTGGAAGTGTAGAAATCGGATGGCATACATTTTTTTCTGGATTTCATCGTTCTAGGGTGTGTACTACAACAACAAACTTTTTTTTTACAAAAAATGTTACTATAGCCGTATATATAAAATGATATATAAGTGCTATCGGACGATCTTGTGCACGATAAAAACCTATATAGAACTTTAAGTTGGAAGTGTAGAAATCGGATGGCATACATTTTTTTCCGGATTTCATCGTTCTAGGGTGTGTACTACAACAACAAACTTTTTTTTTACAAAAAATGTTACTATAGCCGTATATATAAAATGATATATAACTGCTATCGGACGATCTTGTGCACGATAAAAACCTATATAGAACTTTAAGTTGGAAGTGTAGAAATCGGATGGCATACATTTTTTCCGGATTTCATCGTTCTAGGGTGTGTACTACAACAACAAACTTTTTTTTTACAAAAAATGTTATTATGGCCGTATATATAAAATGATATATAAGTGCTATCGGACGATCTTGTGCACGATAAAAACCTATATAGAACTTTAAGTTGGAAGTGTAGAAATCGGATGGCATACATTTTTTTCCGGATTTCATCGTTCTAGGGTGTGTACTACAACAACAAACTTTTTTTTACAAAAAATGTTACTATAGCCGTATATATAAAATGATATATAACTGCTATCGGACGATCTTGTGCACGATAAAAACCTATATAGAACTTTAAGTTGGAAGTGTAGAAATCGGATGGCATACATTTTTTTTCCGGATTTCATCGTTCTAGGGTGTGTACTACAACAACAAACTTTTTTTTTACAAAAAATGTTACTATAGCCGTATATATAAAATGATATATAACTGCTATCGGACGATCTTGTGCACGATAAAAACCTATATAGAACTTTAAGTTGGAAGTGTAGAAATCGGATGGCATACATTTTTTTCCGGATTTCATCGTTCTAGGGTGTGTACTACAACAACAAACTTTTTTTTAACAAAAAATGTTACTATAGCCGTATATATAAAATGATATATAACTGCTATCGGACGATCTTGTGCACGATAAAATCCTATATAGAACTTTAAGTATGAAGTGTAGAAATCGGATGGCATACATTTTTTCCGGATTTCATCGTTCTAGGGTGTGTACTACAACAACAAACTTTTTTTTTACAAAAAATGTTATTATGGCCGTATATATAAAATGATATATAAGTGCTATCGGACGATCTTGTGCACGATAAAAACCTATATAGAACTTTAAGTTGGAAGTGTAGAAATCGGATGGCATACATTTTTTTCCGGATTTCATCGTTCTAGGGTGTGTACTACAACAACAAACTTTTTTTTTACAAAAAATGTTACTATAGCCGTATATATAAAATGATATATAAC